ACCGCCCGCCCCGCCCCCGCAGGTCCACAGCAAGGACAAGAAGTACGTGTGCAAGCTGTGCAGTCGCGTGTTCATGTCGGCCGCCAGCGTGGGCATCAAGCACGGGTCCCGCCGCCACGGCGTGTGTGCCGACTGCACGGGCCGCGGCGTGGCCGGAGCCCTGGACGGTGGCGGTGCCGAGGGCTCCCCCGAGCTGTTCACGGGCGAGGGGCCGTACCTGGAGGACGCCGAGGACCCGCGCGGGGAGGCCGAGGAGGAGCTGGGCGAGGACGAGGACGACGCGGGCCTGGCCCCTGAGGACGCACTGCTGGGGGACAAGGACGACGAGGACTCCCCGCGGGGGCCCCACAGCCCGGCCGGGGGGCCCGATAGGGACTTCGCCTGGATCGCCTAGGCGCCCCACCTGTGCACCCTTAGGGTCCTCACTCCCCGGCAGGGCCGTGCAGACCCCTGGCAGCCCCTCCTCCGGGTCCCCTCTATTCTGCTCCTGCCCCCAGACTCACACAGAAGCCGGCCCTGTGGGCTCAGAGGCAGGTGCGACCCCAGCACCCGGGGGCCCTGGGACCGAACACAAAGTGGGTGCGCAGGGTGGGACTGAGCACGGGAGAGCGCGTGCTCCCAGCTGGCCCGGGACTGATAGGGGGTCCGTGCAGGTGCGCCTGGCCGGGGCGTCAGGAGAGCCCCTGTGGCCTGCCTGGCCTCTGGAGGCAGGAAGGGCCAGTGGCCAGGTCAGGGTCAGCGCTGGTTGGGGTCACGTGCGCAGTCCCCGAGGCCACAGGTCGGAGAGAAGTTGAGGAGAATTTGCAGCACGGAGCTGCGTTCAGTGCTCAAGTCCACCCTCCTCCCTCCCTTCTGACCTCCTCTGTCCCACTTCTCAGCAGCCTGGTCACTGCCTGCGGCCACTGCTGCAACCTGCCCTCGTGGCTCTGCCACGTTGTGCAGCCTGCAGAATCCAGGCCCATGTACAGAAAGCCCCGGCCTCCTGCCTCCGGGCTTTGGTGCTGAACACACAACAGCTGCAGAGGGCCCCCACTGCAGCCGAGGGCTCCCAGGTGCTATCTTCCGGGGGAGGCGGCTGCATGGGGACCGAGGTGCCCGCTCCCCCCTCCCCCCCGGGCAGGGCTCTGTGCTCCCAGCTGCAGGCCGCTGGGGGTCCCTTTTGGGGCTGCAGGCCGCTGGGGGTCCCTTTGGGGCCTCTGCCCTTTGTTCTGTGTGCACTTCCTTGGAGAGCCAGGGCTGGCCTCGTCCCCTCGGCTCTGCGGTCCCGTCGCGCCCAGGCCACTCCTGCTGACCCCCTGGGTGCGCTTGCCTTTGTCGCTGCTAACACTGGAGGTGGTGTCCCGACTGCCGCGTGCTGCTCGCCTTCCGGCGCGGTAACCAAACTTTCTGAGTAGTGAGAGACAGTGGGGTAGTTACATAGGTAACTTTGGCATTATTTTTCTCCCTTGAGGAAACATACAGAGTTGTCTTTCTTTTGGCTTGTCAGGTCCGCTGGCTGTCTTTTTAAAGGAGCTTACGACCTGCTCTCTTTTTTTCTGAGTGAAAAGCCAGGGCCAGCCTTGTGCCCGGCTGGTTGGCCAGCACCACCCCTGTGAGGACGCTCCCCAGCTGGATAGACGGCCGTCTGTCTTCTTCCTTGTTAAGGCTGTCTCTGAGGACACTCAATTTAAGACATTCCTCTCCTTCTCCCACCTCGCTCCGCTGCACACCGCCAGTCCCAGAGCTCCCCGCCCCACCCCTTGCGTGGACCTGGGGCCCTGAGCTAGAGCCTCGCTGGAGAGACCGTCTTCTTATTTCTCTTTTTCCACAGACTGTAAGCCAAATGGCTTTTACCAAGCTTTTTATTGTGTCACATCTATTCTTTCTAGGTGGAAAAAGGAAGCTCCCACAAAACCCTAATTTAGGTTCCGGTGGTGGCCTGGAGCACGTGCCCCCAGTAGCACCCTGAGCACCAGCCTCTCTGGCTGCCTGGTGGATGTGCAGTGGATGTGCAGGCGCCGTGCTGTCTCTGAAGTCCTGCCCCCGCGTAGGAGCACAGCTTTTTTTTTTTTTGTGAGGAAGACCAGCTCTGAGCTAACATCTGTTGCCAATCCTCCTCCTTTTTTTTTTTCCCCCAGAGCCCCAGTAGATAGTTGTATGTCATAGCCGCACATCCTTCCAGTTGCTGTATGTGGGATGCCGCCTCAGCATGGCCGGTGAAGCGGTGCGTCGGTGCGCGCCCGGGATCCGAACCCCGGAGCCACCAGTAGCGGAACGCGATCACTTAACCGCTAAGCCATGGGGCTGGCCCAGCTTTTGTTTTAATAAAATTGGCTGCCGTTTCTGTCGGTTAGAAGAGGGCACTCTTGATGGAGGTGTCGTCTGGCTTGCCTGCACCCACATCTCTCCGCTGGGGACGCTCTGAGCTCCTCAGCGCTGGTGTCCTTCAGAGAAAGGGCCAAGATCTTCCCCAGCTGTGGCCATGGCCGGCTCCTCCTGCGGTGGGGGTGAGGCCAGTGGGGGCAGCGGGGGGCTCGAGGACACACTTCCCTTTCTGCCTTCCCCAGGGAGGCCCAGCCCAGCAGGGCTGTCAGAACCGTGTATCCTCCCGCTTTCTAACCACTTTTATAAACAGACTGACTTTCTTATAAAATGCATTTGGAAACCAGACCTTTCTTACCAACAAGTGTCTCTGGGCTTTGTACTGGCCCCACCTCTCAGGCCGCCCTGCCCACGCCCCGGCCACCTCTGCCTCTGCACTCAGGATGTCCTGCTCTTTCTGATCCCCTTGCTCCCGCTCTGCACCGCCCTCGCTGGCCTGCTTGGGGGTTTGTTGTCAGCACCACAGGGCATTTTCTTCCTTAAAACCAATACTGTACTGAAAACCGAGGGTCCCCCTTCCTGCCCCACCAGGTTCCCCAGGTGCTTGCTGCGTGGCAGGTTCCTTGTTCTCGTGTGCAGTTTGCTGGTCCGAGAGTGTTGAATTTCACAGATGGAGATGAACACATCACCTCTCAGGAGGCGGGGAGGGAACAGACGTGTCATGAAGAGGTTTTTTTACGTGACCTTTTTTTTTTTAAAATCAATGTTGAAACTAATAAATATTTTTTTACGAAGAGGAAAAACTGTAGATTACATTTTACGTTTTGTACTTTTTCGTTTGTGTTTGTCTGGATGTTGGTGTTTGCAACACCAAAGTGGAACACAGTCGGTTGGGTGGTGCGTTCTGGAGGGGGGGGCGGGGAACCATGACGCTGGTGTCGAGCTTGGATCCTGACCAGGTGGAACGTGTGACTCCGGGCTTGGGGAACAGTCACAGCACTACCAGGACTCAACAGGGACCTCACCTCGAGACACAGCTACTGCTGCCCACTTTGCACATCTTGCTTTTTAAAAAAGAAAACTCTGAGAAGATGCAAAAACTGGAACTTTTTGCAATATTATGAAAGATAATGTTATTTTTGCTCATTCTGTGACATGTGCAACTCTTAAGAAAGCCATACTTAATGGTGGTTGTTTTCATTTTTTAGATCCTCTGTTGTATTTTGTACGCAGCCCTTTTAGAACTCTGTGTAGTGAGGGTGCTGTGTGTGCTTTTCTTAAATATTTATTTTTTCAACATGCTTTCAACCTGTCAACAAAAACAAAACAGACAAAAAAAGGGCAGTGTTTGAAAATTGTTGATTTTTTTCTGGGGATAATCTATAGTATATCGACTTTATATTAATTATTATAAACCTGTGTTTGTATTGGAAATGTGTTTAATATTGGGGGAGATTTTCGTAATCGGTCAGTGGGAAATCACAGCTCTGTTGTCCGCTTCTCTGTAGCCATAGGACAGGTAAACAGTACTTTCTCTAGTGGTCTTGCGGTTTCTTGTCGGCCTGGGTGCACTCTGCGCCTGCTTGTGGGTTTCCTTTCTATGATGGGGTTAGCTTAGACATTCTTGCAAAACGATCACTTTCAATAAATTCGGAAATTGCTGCTCACACCGATGCCTCGTGTGTGTTTCAGTGTCCCCTCCTCTGGCCTCACCTTGGGTGCAGGTGGCCAGAGAGTGACCCGCTAGCCCTTTGTGGCCTGATGCCAGCCTCCCTGGCCCACCTGCCCACCGCCCACCTGTGGCAGGGTCCTAGTTCCAGGCCCTTCCCCCCAGGAAGCAGACTCGGTTTCTGGAAAAAACTCAAATCTTTAATGTTTCTCCGCCTGGCGCAGCCCAGACGCAAGACACCTGAGCTTTGAAAACATGATACAAATGTCAACCCCAGGGGCCCTCGAACCGTCAGGTTAAGTGTGGGCAGGGGAGGCCCCTCCCTGACACCCCTCAAAGTGCATCAAGGACTGGCTCCCGTGTGGCTTCCAGGCCCTTCAGCACCCTTGACAAGTCCCTGGGCCCACGGGCAGGCAGGGCAGTGCTCCCCCCCCCAGGGACCCCGGGGCCAAGGGGGCAGTCATGGGGTTTGGCTTTAGTGCAAAAGGCTGGTTTCTTCAGAGGCACTTTGAGTGATGGAGCCCCCCCCCCCCACCTCTGGGGGTCCAGGGTCACTGGCTCCCCCCTCCCCATTAAAAAGTAGACTCTGTGGCTAGAAGATGCCCCTGGCCAGGAGGGGTGGGCAGCTTATTTTCCCCTTTCACGAGCCCGGGCGGGCAGGCAGCAGCACGGGGGTGGGGCTCAGTCCAGGAAGCGCTGGCAGGCCTTCTTCCAGCGGCAGGCCGTGCACCACAGGTCCCGGTGCTCCATGCCGTATACTTTCCGGCACTTCTTGGCATCACCTCGGGGCTTCCTAGGGGGAAACATGGGGATCATGGGGTGCTGTCGGGCCAGGCCCATCCTTGCGGGGCCCCTGCCCCAGCCCTCAACACACACGCACCTCGGGTTGGCAGCAAACTTGGAAGGCAGGGCTGGTGTGCAGGCCCTGACTGTGGGGGGTGGTGGCTCCAGGTGGACGGGTGCTGGGCAGCCCTGAGAGGAGACACAGCTGTGGCCTCGCTCCCCTCTGGGGCACCCTGAGCACCGACCCCAGCAACTGCCTGCGGCCTCTCCCACCTGGTAGGCGTGGTCACGGTGCCACACCTGGGGGGTGGCCAAGGGCTCTGGCAGCTCCAGGTGGGAGAAGGTGAGTGGCACAGAGGCAGTGGGGGATGCCGGGCTCAGGCTGGCCAGCCCGCGGGTCAGTGTGTCCAGGCCAGCATCCAGCTCTGTGTAGTAGAAGTCCTCCTCGCCGTCACTCTGCTCTGGCTCTGCTTGCCGCCTGCTGGGGACACAGCGGGGGGAGCTGAAGCGGCGGCCCACCTGGCCCGCCCCCCCCTTGCCAGCCCCACCGCACCGCAGGTGCACCAGGCGGACGTGTCTCTGCATCCCGGAGGCCGTGCTCAGCACCTTCCCGCAGCGCTTCCACAGACACTGGAACAGCACCTGCGCCGAGCTCTGGGCAACAAGGGCCGGTGGTCATGCTGGGCCACATGTGCGTCCCGCCCCGAGCGCTGCCCCCAGGCTCACCTTCCTCTTCCTCGGGGCAGGCTCCCCAAACAGGAAGTGGGCTGCCTCAGGGGGCAGCGGGGGCGACGGGGTAGACGGAGAGGACTGGTCACTGGCTAGGTCCCAGCCCCAGTCTCCACTGCTGCTGCTGCTGCAGCTGCCTGGTGGCTGCACTGGGGCCTCCTTCCAGGGCTCCAGGCTGGCCTCTGCGGGGACACACCAGTGCTACTGTCAGGACTTTCGGCAGGCTCAGGCTGCTCTGCAGAAACTGCCAGCTGCGAGTCCCTTAACTCTGAGCGAACTCTGTTCACAGGCGAGCTTGGTGGGCAGAGCCTCCTGGAGGCGGCAGTGGCCAGGAGGAGCTGGCATGGCAGGCTGGGGACTAGCTTCCCCAGCACAGGGAAAGATACACAGAGAAGTCTTCTGTGGGAAGATGCCTGGCCAGCCGGGTGGAGATGGACAGGTCACAGAGGCCTGCAGACCTGGGTACTGTGGCTTGGCCTCTGTGAGGGGCACTGGGAGTCCTGATGTCCGTTTTAGGCCTAAACAGGTATGTTTAGAAGGTCATGTTCCAGGAAAGGGCACTCTGCTTGCCCCACACGGGCTAGCCAGCTGTAGGGTCCTGGAGGGACAGTGGTCCTGGGCTCTGCCCCCACCCCTACCCTGTGCCAGGCCCTAAGTCTCACCTGTGCTGAAGGCCGCAACTGGGGCCCCCAGCAGGAGGGGGCTGGTGGACAGGCTTGTGAGGGCCGCGGCAGCCATGACCTCGTCCAGCCGGGCTTTTCCTGCGGGGGCTCTGGAGGAGATGGGGGTGGGACGCCGGTGGGGCCCAGCAAGCACTCCAGGCCCCTCCCCTGGCCCGGCACACGCACACGTGCAGGCCTGGACACGTGTGTGTGCACCAGGCTCTCTCACTCCAGGCGCTGGGCAGGAGGCCCAACTCCACCCCCAGCTCAGATTGCAGAGCCCCAAATCTCCAGGAACCACCAGGAACAGGGCCTGGGCTGGGGCCTACCCGAAGCCTGACTTCTCTGCAGCCTGGGCTTTGTTCCACAGTGGCTCCCTCAGACCCTGGTGCTGGACAGGGGTCTGAGGCCCCACTGATGAGGCCAGGCCAGGCCCAGCCGCCACTCCCCCCCATCACACATTAACCAGGGTTGTGCAACAGCAACTGTGGGCCTAGCGCCAGGCCTGGGAGGGCAGGAGCAGCCAGCAGTCAGCAGCAGCAGCCAGGGGAGACTGCGCTTGAAGCACAAGTGGGTCCCCAGGCCCCAGCCAGCCAGGCCAGAGCCCGCCCCGCCTGCGCAGCCAGCCCGGTGTCAGGCACCCAGGAAAGTTTCCCTGCTGGGCTGGGGAAATGGTGGTCAGAAGCCCAGGGATTCCTGGGCAGTTGACCCAGCAGCCAGCTGCGCAGCCTCTTCTGCACAGAGACCGACAGCAGCTCCCTCCCAACTCTGCACTGTGGCCCCAGAGTTTGAGGGGAACAAAGATATTAATACATTTATCATTTCTGCTCAAGTTCTCCTGGGCTGGAAAGCTAGGGGTGGGGGTAAGAAACCCAAGTTCGGACCCTGACCTGCCCCCACCGAGGCCCCCGGTAGGGGGGTCGGGAGGCACGTGCCTGTGCCCCACCCACCACCCCTGCACACACCGGTGCACCTGTACACACTGGACCGGCTGACCTCTGCGCTGGCACCGGGATGTGCGCCGACGGCGGTGGGGGCCCCGCCGCTCCGGCCCATGTCCCCGGGGCCCCTAGGTCCGCGGCCCGAGGTTCCGGCTCCTGCGGCGGCGCGAACTCCAAGCCTGCAAAGCCGCCGCCTCCGAGAGGGCCCTGCGGACCGGGCCGGCTCAGCGGGGGCGGCGGCCCGGGGCC